TGTGTAGCTCGTTGAGTCATAGAGGTGCACAAGCCATTACACCACGTCAAGGTGTTGTCTCGTCATGATGTTACCTGTGGTTGCCATTCAGGTACAGGCTTGATTTCCGTAGTTCGGGATCTGCAAGTAGCCGTCGTACGTTTTTGGAAATCTATGGCGCATTGATCACCACGGTGCCAAGGACAGGCTGAAGTTCACGTTCTGTTCGACTCTACTTTCAACTTTCCTATCTTCTCCTGTTCTTCATTCAAATGGGCAGCCAAAAGACAGCATCCAAAACCGGCGCACGAAAGTACATGGGTAATGGTTGTACAAACTGAAACAGACTGAAACTAAAACGAGTTCACGCAGGATGTCTACCTCAATTACGTCTTCGCGCACGCACCACATTCTTTAGCTCGGCCCCTGGTGTGGTGCTTGTCAAGCTGTTTGAGTTGTTCACTGATCTAAGGTTTTAACCTTGCCAGCATTACCCAGATTTTGTGCTAATCTATTTCTCTGTCTTCTGGCTCAATATCACGCATGTTCTACCGGTGACCTTTGTTATACGTTGCTTCAATCCCCAAAGCTTTACTCGCCGGTTTTGGACAGTATGTCCTCGTGATCGCAGTTTTCACCCCTCTTGTTCATCACACAATATTGTGTTCCAAAAGTGTTTATCAAGTACCGACTGTCGTATTATCCCTGGAGATCGAGTTGGGGTCGATTCTGACAACCGGACTGCTCTATCGCCTTGGTGGTCGAACAGTGGCGTTCATCAATTGTTCATCTTCATACTTATGGTTTTGTATAGACCGACCTCGATTGAATTAAAGCAAACAGCAAACGTTCATCACTGCTGTCTTTACAAAATTGTTTTGGCCTGTGGTGATTCGTGAAGCCGATTGATGCCGGCAATTTTGGTTCAAGGCTAGTATGTGGTGTCATCACCATGAAAGTAACGAGGAAGTTAAGCCACTGGTCCCATGCCGAGACAGTTAACTGATGCACAAGGTAATTTTATTGCATTCATTCAGTTTTCAGGTTGAATAGCCATTAACGTTGCATTTTCTTGCAACAGAATTTGCTACTATTTACTACCCATTTGGTCAAACAACTGTGAACGAGTAGACGAGAGGTATGGGACTGAGGGCAGTACCAACGTGAGTATGCGGAATGCAGTTAAACTTTGAGCAGAAATCGAGGCGATGCGCAAGTGCTGTTTACGAAACAGTAACATCACTCAGTATCTCTAACTCTCGGTTAAACTGGTTTTGATATCCTCGACTAGGAAGCCTACTGCGATCGCTTTGATCAGATCCCCTGACCAGTGTTACCATACCTTCATGTGAGGTTACTCCTGGTCTTTTTCCAATCACTACCTGTTATCTTCATCCTGCTCCGGCGTCTGCTAAGTCTCGACAAAAGTAAAACTATAATGGTTGTTTAACGTGACATGGAACTGGGTGAACAATGTGAATTGAACATGCCATTTTCCTCAACTTTTACCGTTAGATTGTCCTGTAAAGAAAGTTAAACCGATCTGAGGAGTTGCTTTCCTGAGGGTGTCAAGGATAATGCTTGGGAATTTTTCCTCGTATCAATGCCTCATTCCTCCTCAATTCACCATACACAGATTCCATTCCTGATTATTGTGCATACTATTCCGGGCTCTGATTATCGTTTTTGCACATATTGCACAATACTACCCTGTCCCTCCCTTATAGGATATGTATCACGAGGTACCCACGTGTCACATCACGACCGGCTATTATGTAGGCTTCTCGTTCATGATGATGCGGCGCTATCTGGACGCGATTCGTACCCTATCAGCCACATTAGCCTACAAATCACGAGCTAGTGGACTGATTGCGCAGCGTGCTGATCTGAGGGAATATGTGAACAAGCAAGCAGATCAAATGTCTTGCTTGCTGGGTCTGTGTCTGACACTTAGTCCGATGTGCACGGATCACAATATCGAAGCGGATCGACGGGACAAATTCTCCGAGACCTTGATGCGTTTGCAACAGTTGTGAGTCAATGAAACAAGTTGGTTTCCTCCCATCACGTATCGGATTCACTTTTCTGTAGTTTGTTTGCTAGTTTTCCGATTCCCCATGTCATTTCAACTTTTTATGCTCCTGTAATCGGTCTGTGCTTCATTCTGCACGTATGCGATGTTCACTGATTACCCATATGACATGGACAAAACAAGACTATTTCTGCTTTGATCTTAGCTGTAATGAAATGGACTCACACCAAAATTGGCAACATTTTTCCACATTTCGTAAACCATTTTGTGCATCTTAAGCAACAATTGCAATAGTGTAATTAAGGTACTGTTCCTCAGTTTAACGAGATACTCGGAAAGAAATGAAAATTTGCAATTCAACCCACAACTACTTATAAGTAGTAATATAGAATAAGCTACTGCTGATTTCCATGGATCATGCGAGCGAAAGACCTAACGTAGACGGCTTACTTGAGGGCATATATTGTATTTTATTTCACATGCGTCTGAATCCATATTGCCAAACAAATTATAGTACAATACTCTGTGAAAACAGAACGTTATATGATTTGTTTGTAGGCGGAATACTGCCAGGTTGCCCAGGCCCAGGCAAGTAAATTTTCTCGGGTAATTCACAACGGGAGCTAGTCAAGGCGTGATGCACAAGGCAGCGGGGTGGTGTATGAGAACCGCAGTCGATTAGGGGTCAGTGTCCAGTTCATCGGATTCCACACTCTTTGTGTGGGGTCAAACGTCTAAGGTGTCCAGCACATCTCGAGGCCCAGTTTGGCCGGTGACCGCTGTCACAACCAGGAAAACGTGCGTGGTTCGTACGCCTCCTCTTGGTTGGTTTTAGACAACTCCCTTAGGTAACCGCCAGTGGTTCCCCGATCCGGTTATAGCCCCGGATGTTGACTTTTCGTCTCCTCACTTTGCAGATTAAACACCGCCGCGGAAAGGCAGTGAGTGGGGCCTCCTAAGTAGAGGTTGTTTGAGACACATGGTGGTATAGAGGCATTTCCTGAAGTGCGAGGGAAGGGTGATGAGCCACAACCCGACACCCACTCCCGACCATACTGATGTTTTTGGGGGCCCCAGGGGCATCTGCCTAAATACCTCAACGAATAACCTCATTTGGGTGAAAACCTGTCAGTTAGAGTTGACATTTTTGATTTTGCTCTCGTCCGTTTCTGCCGGGTCTAAAAAACTGACTGACTCCTATTGTGGATGATCTCTGAACGAATCCAAGTTGCTGGTTCCTGTCAGCTTTGTCAGCGAGCTGATTGGCACAATAGCAAAATACTCGCGTTCTCTTCCGCGTATTTTGTTACGATACGGACTTTGGTAATCCACTACGCATGCGTTTCAGTCAGAACCGCCTGTAATGCTGTCACAGAGGAATGCACACGAAAGATAAAAACATATACGGAAGAAAGGGAAAAAGAGTTCATTCAACCTGAAAGGTTCTTCCGCAGCTTAGTTCTCCTGATATAAGCCACTAACCAGAACCATATTATTCTACCTTACTGTCTAAAAAGCGTTTCACTTTCACTGTTGCAGTCAATAAACGAAATACTCATACACTTTATTTTATGATTTCAAGTTAATCAACTTCCTATTCTTTTTATCGTCTTCATTTAGGGACGAGGCTGAATTTGTCAGCTCTTTTGATATTGGCTGCCCGAAATTCATCACTCCAGAGAAACCGAATTACGGGAAAGCCGGTGATGCAGTTACGTATCAGTTGGAACCACAACGCCAGCAAATGGAACTTTTCAAACTGGAGAGTAGTCAACAGATTGAACTTTTACGCTTACGGTCATTTTTGAAACTCTACACAAACATGCCGACGTCCAAATTGGCTGCCTACATGAACTCTGTAAGCCGCTTCTGTCGTTCTCCC